AAAAAAAAAAATTTTAGCTGGTAAGAGAACAATATTTTCACAGCAATCGAAAGAAGTTCTGAGTAAATGATCCAAAGGGAATTGTTCTAGCCCCTGTCAATAACGCAAAATATAGCACGAAACAGGCTAGAGGAAAATTGCAATGAAAGCAGGTGCGGTCTCGGAATATGGTGGTCGGAATGAGCTTGATTAAATTAGTTTATCGACGCCTGCATACAGCAATGGTGACTGCATCTAGGTGCCTGCGTGCAACCGGCCGCTTGTAATTTCAAACGCAAATTTTTATATTGCTACCACGGCGATTACGATTGTTCAACATGGATGAAAATCCACATTTGAGTGATAAATTTTGTATTCTTTTGATCGGTACAGAATAGAATAGTTTGTTTGCCTTAATTCGGCGTCCCAAAACAAATCTAATAGAAAAAATGGTTCTTTTTATTGCAAAAAGTCGTCCTGTCTCACGATTCACACAATGAAACTGCGTCGAAATCTCTCGGTCCAGGTTCGGACCATCCTTCAACCCTCCGTTGGGGGATGCATGTAAACCAGATTTGGAGAGGTAAGCAAGCCCTCGCTATGCCACTGTAAGTATGCCCAGCCATCTCCCCCCCCCCCCCAAAGAAAAAAAAACCCCCCCCCCCCCCCCCCCAAAAAAAAAAAAAAAAAAAGTTCCCGGAGGGGATGCACATCAAAATAAGAATTTTTCCTGAACTCAACATCACGACAGCTATTTGTGTGCAGGGTTTTGCCTTTCTATATCTTTCCAATTCACTGGGATGAAAATTTCTCTTGGAAAACCTCCCACCGAAAAAGTGCTCATAGGGCATGCACCTCCGAAGTCGGATTTCTTTTCTGAAATCAACACCCTAACAGCTACTTGTGTACAATGTTTCATCTTATCAAATCCAGAACTTGGTCAAAATTAGCGCCAGCCAGTCACGATCGTCAATAATTTTATATTCCATATTATGAATAATTTTTTTTTTTGTAAATCGAGGCTAAATGATGTGGTACGAGATTGTCAAGCATCACATTCGGAAAGAAGTGCTCTGAATTGGCATATGTGAAAAGTAGCAGGCACGATACCATCTTGTCATCCAAGCTAGTCGGTTCAAGATTTTCAGACGCAATTTGGATGTGACCAGGAGTTTCGTAGTGGTCCTATCCATGGCCTAATATGGAATGCTTACCCCTTCCATTGATGAGGCCTTCAGTAATCACTTTTTACTGAGGGGGTACTTGAAGTACCTAATATTTATGTAAAAATTAATTTATTGCTGGCAATATAAAAAACGCATATTTTAACAAACTTTGATGATAAAAAACGGCAAATTAATGTTTTATCGATTTTATTTGTGAAAAGTTAGTTTAACAATGGAGTACCGCCGAAAGACCCTTCAGAAACGGAAGGGTTAATTAATGCTGGATGTGACAGACGGTCCAGTTATTTGCTCATGCAACCTCTTTCTTCCCTATCTTTTACTTATCAATTAATTCAGATATGTGCAGATACAATGATCGTCCAGAAAGTGGTGCAGCCATGGAAGCTACGGCGCCAACAACCCTGAACTACTATGAATGCCACGAAAAAAAACTTTCACAATTGTTATATTTCGTCGCTGTGCACGGGTCATTGCGTGAGATTGAGACGTCGCGATGGAGCGGTTCACTCCGCTGTCTCCCGCTTCTTCTCTTCGCTCTAATTGTAACATAAAATCGAGCATTCGCCTAATTAGTCGAAGTCCAAGCCAATTTCCTTTGTTTTCTTTGTCGGTCAACATGGGCCTCATGAGCTCTTCAAAATTGTTCAATAAAAATCAGAGTGGGGACATGCACGTTACGTTAGAGAAGCCGATGCGCTGGGTGTAGGCAATTCCAAGAGAAGAGGTCGGGCCGGGTAGTAAGCGAAGGGTAAGAATCACCCCATAATTTTTCATCTTACTTTGAGCACTGTCCTATGGATAAGCTGAATACCACTTTTTGTTTTCCGTAACAGGCATAAAACAACACCTAATGTCCAATCAACTTCTGTGAACAATATCAAAAGTATCAGAGGCGCATTTTCCTTTAAGCTATATGGCCAATGCCACAGTTCATCACAAGAAACACTGCAGAGGAAAGTCTATCATCACCCAACATCTTTATTCACAATCTAATAAAAAGGCCAAAAACAAATAAGATGGAGCTAAAACATCTTCCCGATAGGAAAAAAGAGGTGCATAGGATTTCTTGCTCCTTTAAATTTTTCCACTGTAGAACATGATGCATGCTTTTCACTATTGTCCCAAGCTCTGAGATTTCACACATCAGATCTCAGAGCAGTTCTCCTTCATGCAAAGCAAGGGAGTAACTGGAATGTGTTGTCGTTCAAACAAGTCAGTGTCACACTCACGATCCGATATGTGGGAGCGTCTTCATTTGCTATCCACCCTGGATTGGATTTTTCAAGCTAGCTTGGTAATGGCAAAAAGAACATAAAAATAAAAATAAAGCAAAGCCTGGCCCTGTTCATCCATACAGAGCTGCTATGAATTATTAGCACAGAACATTATGCTCATAGAAGGCCGTTCTCACACACATGCACACATAATTTATAGTGCTCTATATAAATATCTCAGCAAGAAATAGGCACAGCACTGGAAAGTAAAGTTGCTAGACGACCACAAAAACAAAATTCCATGCTTTGGCTATATACACACAAATAACTTTGAAGAGGAGTGGAAGAGGTCTATGACTACCTCATTCTCTATTGATCTAATATTTCTACTTGTAAAGTATTCATATCACAAAGATGTAATTAAAAAATTGATAGTTGATGTAATGATAACAAGGAGAGGAGGAGGAGGTGCATGGAATGATGAAAGTCTCTGTCCAGTCTAGTCTATGAAGACAGAGACCACACAACATTTCAATATATTGCCAGGCGAGTACGGACTTGACCAAGGTACAAGACGGCAGTTTGATAAGCTAAACACTGATGACAATGATGATGGGTCCAGCTCCAACCAGCTCCACTCTGTTCCCTGGAAAAGAACTAAGAACAACATACGTCAACCAGAGCTTATAGAAAATTCAGAGGGGTATTCAAGGCTTGGAGAGAAAAGATTTATTAGTTGATTCACTGTGCAATAATTACCACATAACTAAAACAGAGAAAATTTCCCTGGTGTATAGCCTCACTTATAGTATTCCTGCCAAAAATGCATGCTATTAAATAAAATGTAAGATTCAATTATACATGTACATCTCTTCAACATTGCCTGCATATGCAGACAACAAAAAATGGAAGCTAGTAAGTGAAATACAGGGTGACCAGAAAGTTCCCGCACTTTAAAAATCAAATGTTTTATTCAAAGCAACAATAACAAAACATTTTCACCAAAAAATATGATAGAATTTTTAACTAATATAATCAAACATTTTCAAAATGTACACCCTTTGCTTTGATGCACTGTGTCAATCGTTTTGGCAACTGATCATGCATGCAGCATTTTAAGGGTGATACCATCCCAATCCATGGCCTTAAAAATAATATTTGGATATGATATCCAAAAACTGATTTTTACCTACAACAGAGAAAAGTAAAATGATTTTTTTAAAAATGCTCTCTGCACAAAAATTAACTTTCCCACCAAAAGTAACTGTCCTTTGAAGGTGTCCAGGAACTTTTTGGTCACCCTATATAAAACTCAATTATTGGTTACTGCTCTTTGACATTACCAGAATACGTGCAAGAGCACAGTTTTTGCATTAACCCCCTGTGAAGATAGTGTTTTACAGCTGCAACAATACTGCCTATTTTCTATCATATGCTGTTAGGACTGGTAGCTGCTTGCACCTTTGTGTTATAAGTGTGGATTGTCAAGTCATTGTTGGACTCTTCTTCCACAGAAAATTTCCAATGAAGGCATACTTTTTTCCTCATAATTTTCAACAGTGAGGCAGCTAATGGTTCCCTTCCATCTGAGCACTCAATATTCTAAATGGTAGGATAAACCTTTGATGGTGAAAAAAAGAAAGTCCTTGAAGGTTAACTTAAAAAAAAAACCAAATAAACCAGTGCATTCATGGGTAAAACAAAAGGAAGGAGCATTTGATTGGCCATGAACAAATAAGCAGATTCTTGTGAAAATAGAGGAACCTCTGTAGAATGAATCACATGACAAGGTCAACAAGTTGAAAGATGACAACAAACCTGTTCACAGGGCACCAAAGGGATCAAGCTGAGTTGCATTCTGATTGGATGGCAGCATGGCTGGAGCAGGGTTGCCTCCCATCATGGGCATCATTGGTGGTGTTATTCCAGTTCCCATGCCTATCTGACCTCCACCCATCATTCCTCCACTACCCTGTCATACAAACAGGCTACCTTCTCAACATCTCCCACCCAACTAGAAGAATTCTCTGAGCTTGCTAGGTAATAGTCAATAAAATGAACCAGCATCAAAAGTCTTCTGATGAATCTTAGCATGATTGAAGGCTGAGGCACTGTCATATTGGTCATGACAGATACCACCAAGAGCACTGTACTATCCCTACTTATTCAAAATACCTGATAAAACACTCCAGTCATTAGTCCCTCCTCTTGCCCTCTAATTAAAGTATGTAGTTGGCCAAATAAGGGAATTGTAGATGGGAATTTGTAATGTTATCATACAGAACTGTGCAATTAAACTTAAAAAGCATAAGAATGGGCCAGATTTCTTGTTGCAGGAGAAAAAGAGAATGAAAAAGGTTACTGATAAATATAAGTGAGACAGTGCTAAGCATCTTGTTCCAGAATGATTTATGCCATTGAAATGCATGGAAAAAGACATACCATGGGTCTGAAAGGAGCAGCCATGGCTGGAGTCACCTGAGGTTGCTGGTTCCACATTCCTGTTGAAGGACTCTTTCCTCCTGTGTTCTTTGGGCTGTTCCAGTTCACTGATCTGTATAGACAACCATGTCATGCATACTTATGAATTCTTAATAATGGCAGAAATAATTTATAGGGAGAAAAAAAGAAAATAATCAAGATAGGACTTGTTCTGGGCCTGTGACTGGATGGTGAGGTTCTCAGCAAGGGATGCCAAAGCTGTATCCAGATCACCCTTCAGATTTGCAGACTTCTGAGGTTGGGGTTTTGATGGCATTGGGACCCCCGACGGCTGGCCAGCAGCTGGTGTCGGTTTCAGCATGTTCCCAAATGCATCAAACCCTGTAGACACCATCCACACATACATTTGAAACACGTCAAACTACACGTAACCAGAAGAGTCAGATAATATGAAATGCACCACTTATATGATATTTATATGAAGTAATAACCCAGCATTGGTGTGATGTGGTGGGATAAACTTCAATCACATTTAGGGAGTTCAATTTTCAATCATATATTTTTTTTACATTGTTTTTATATCATAACTGCATTGCAAGGAGATACTTGAATCACTTTAAGGGGGGACTATGAGCAAAAAAAAAAAAAAAAAAAGAGATGCTTTGCAGAAAGTAAAAATCATTGAAAAGTATGTATTTCAAATGTCTTTAGAAATATAATTTTTACATCAAGCTCCACCAGTTCCTGAGATAGACTTGAAAAACCTAAAATGTTAGTACATCTGGCATTTCCCAAGTCACAGCTAAAAAAATCAACAAAATTTCTTCCAATTCATAGGACTCCCTGATAAAACATAAGTTTGTTAGAAGCAAAAAAGTGAATTTTCCTATTTTTCCAGAATGAACAATTTTTTCATGTTATTCAAAAATTTGATAGCTCTTAGCTCTCTACTTCAATCATAAAAAATAAAAATAATCAAAACCAGTCCCAACACATTCCAGGTTTGTCGTTTTTGAGTGCCCATGTTAAATTTTAGGTTTCTGGCACCAATATTGTAGGAGTAATTTGGGAAATAGTCATTGTATGCAATATGTACATTGCAATTTTTTGCTCATAGTCTCACCTTAGAGTGTGTAGTAAAAATATGAATCTTTTCTCATTTCATGTCTGGGGTGTGTTAAACCCCACCAAAACTAATGCCAAGTTAATTAAGAACATCAAGCTTTGTACAAGTTTCAAGAGCAGAACATAATCTTTTGGTGGAATTCTTTGAATTCACTATAGTCAATATGGAGAAGGCCTGCAACAATTTTCAAAGACTCAAATGAGAGCTTTTCTGAATTCCTTTTCATTTGGGAGATTTTGGAACAACCATCAAAAGCTATCCAACCAAGATTATTACTATTTTTTACTGTTTTCCACAACATGGATAATACATTGACAAACATGAGGAAATTGTGGAACAATTCAACAGAAAAAAAGATAAGTAATCAGAGTCAGGTTGCGGAACAGTCATCACACATATCAATGAAATGCTGAAATGAACAGATGAAAAAACAATGAAGGCAAGGGAGAATTAATTGCCAAATGACTGTTTCTCAACTTGGCCTGAGATGTTAGTTGCTCAGGCTCGAGCTCGAGGCAGTCGTCTATTCTACATACACATGCAGACGACAGCCAACATGCACCCATACAAGCATCTACCTGTCCCAAGATTAGTTTGGTAAGCTGGCTCCTCTGGTGGAGCTGAAGTGGATGCAGATGAAGATGTTTCCACTCCAGATGATGCCTCTCCAGCTTTTATTTTGGAAAGCATGAACAGAGAGAAGGAATCACAGGATGATGCCAAGATGAAATGGAGGAGAGAAATGGGAAGATTATTGGATTGCCTAAGAAGATCCCTTCTCTCTTGTGGGTAAAAGAGAACTAAATGGTGGGTGCTGTTGAGCTTTGGAGGTAAAAGGGAAAAATAGAGTATGGCATGAAGGGAGGGGGGGGGAGGAAGGAAGGAAGGGGAGGAAGGAAAAAGGAAGGAAGCTTAGGGTCAAAGGGAGGACTTGGCTGGAACTCACTCTTATTACTAGGGAAAGCCTCGGCAAAGTGGGACTCGGTTGCAAACTCTCCATTGTCGGCATGGCCTATGTAAGAACCATCATACACTCTCACACGCCATCGCACACTTACCACACACCAGTACCACTTTGCTCTCACTTGTGCAACAACAGTCTATCATATTGGAACAACTTTTAATCATAATGTACCTGCTGTAGAGATGCAATGACTGGCTCAATATTATTCTAAACACTTTCTTTTTTGTTAATATATTTCCAATTTTCCACTGGAATGTAATGAATGTAAATAAATTTTCTTCCACCTTCATATAAAATAGCCTGCCATATCAATCTGGCATAAAATATCCCAATGTTAGTGTGTGATCCACTTGTTTTCACTTGAAAGAAGCCATCCCACAACATTTGTAAAGAATTAGAGGGTCAGACTGAAGCCTACAAGACATACAAGCCAATGATCAAACAAAACCCATACCCTTATAACAGACTAGGTCTTTAGTGGCCACATCAACACCCTGGGAGATGTTTGCAGACATGGAATATTCATATCTCTCATGACATCATGAGCAGCTCCATAGATTATAGGCAAGAAAGTGGACAATATCAATTGCAGGTATGTTCCTCTCAAAATGTCAACTATTCCAGCAGTCAGCAAGCATCCCTTTTGTAATCCCTTGTTGGTGTTAAGCTTTCATTTCAGTATTTTTCCCAGCAGGCAGAGATAACCAAAATATGGGTGAGAGGGTATTACCATTGGGAGTATTCCAGATGTTGTTTGTAAGAGACACACTAGCTGGTGCCAAGCCTGGCATAGATTGAGGCATCATCATTGTGATAGGAGTGGGAGCAGCAATGTTGGGTCCTGGCATCCCCAATGGGGCAGGGGATGAAGCTGAGGCCAGAATGTCTGCAAATGGATTCCCAGACAGCTGCAGCAGGTCATCTGATGCCTTGCCCTATATGTTAAAATGTGCAATAAAGGCATTTGCCACCGTTACTTAAAAAATATTAAAACCTCCACATTTTCATAAAGCATGCAGTGCAAAATGCAGGAAAAATTCTATAATTAACAATACTTTTCACAATTTAGAAGAGTCACTCTGAAAGTTTGTAGCTGTTTTTTTTTTTTACTAGCAATGATAACAACATGGATTTTTTCCATGCTTTCCAAAAACCTTGAACATTTAAGTTAGCCCTTGTACTTCGGAGACTCTTTCCAGTGCCTTTCTTACTCCCTCCTCCTAGATCTAAAAACAAATGCACCTCCTAAGGTCTTACTTTGAATATTCCACATGATTCATTAGACAACATGGCCAAAGAACACCATCTTTCTGGATCATTTCATATATGTGATTCATAATGTAAGTTTTTGGGATAGTTACTTCACTTCTTTTTGTTTGCTTTTTTCCTTCCTAGCAAGATTCTTGCTCCCTCACTGGAACCTCAAAGAAGAGAGAGCATTGAATAGATTAAATTATTGAACCACAAATTTGGTAACACACTGCACTGTCTTTTAAAAAATTATGCCACTATATGTTTTGGAATATCTTGATCCAATATCATGCAAGACTCATGAATTTTTTGCACATGGCATTTCAGGTGAATAAAAATTATTTCTGCCAAATATAAAAGAATTTCACTCAGTGCTTTGAATTCAATAACTTTTCAAAGTTGAAGCATAAAAAATAATAGTGAATAAGCAATGCACACATTATTTTTTATAGGTGCATCATGTTGGCATGCTACAAAATGACAGTCATGGCAGCAGGCAGTCTAATCAACGGAAATGATTCAGATGAAAATATTTCATCATGTGGTATTACAACTCCTTTGAATTTTTATTATCATTTGAGGCTGGCATTTGATTTGTATGAAAAAATGTATCCCAATATCTTGAGCCTTATGCTCTTCTGCACTTGGCTAATCAGATAATGAAGGAAGATTTATGTCAAATTTATGCATGGCAACCATAAAAACTTAAAGCTTGTACTCAAGATATTCACCTTCAGCATGAACCCATGTTCTTCTTCTTGACTTTGAACTGATTCTTCTATAGCATTGATATTTTCACAGATTGAACAGCATGACCTATCACTTCCACATTGTTTCAGTCAATACAGTTTCAGCAATTTCTTTTAATGACTGTGATGTTGCCAGCTTTTTTCAGGGAATTCCCTAATGAATCACTCAGAACTGAAGCCCTTCATCTCACAAACCTTTGCTGAAGTGCTTGTCCTCCCCGTCCCTGAATCTCATGATATTCTTCACAATGTTTAATACATAACATCACAAAAGTAACATTGGAGTTTTGAGTTTTCCCTTAGGTGAGCAAGAAATTATGGTAAGAAAATCTAATAATCACAACCCAAATACAAATTAACCTCAGTAACACAAGATAAACAGTATCAAACAGCAGTTTCCTCATTTCGACTTGCCAGTGCCAGTGCTCAGTGATGCTGGAGTGAGTGGAAGGGATGTCTGGTGAGAAGCATCCAGCAGATTGGTTCTTCAATGTTATTTTCGGTACTTCAACTTTGAATACATATTGCATTTGCATCACTTTTTGAGGTATTTTAAAACTTGGTATAAATCTTTTTTTATATATATGAGATTTCACAGGCAGAAAAATGGGGGGTTTTCATGAAAAAGGCTGAAAATATTCCAAAAAATCAAGTGGCATACTTTTTTTGAGTCACAGTGTAGATAGGTAGATAATGGCTGGTCTCTGGATATTTTAACCCTTTCAGACCTGAATTTTGGCCGCTATTGGAATTATATATATATTTTTGCATTTTTGAGCTCTATTATGATTTTAATTGAAATTTTCGTGCTTTTTATAGAGTTTTCATATTTTGTATAAATTTACCATATACCATATATTATATATTAAACATTTACTTAAATAACTGAAGATTAAAATAGTAAAGGGTAAGAGAAGGCCTCTGATGGAACTGAGCCATGCATAATTACACCCATTTTAGTGCAAAGTCACAAGAATTTTAAGAAGTTGCCATAGAAACAATGTAAATGCAATGTCCATTGGAATGGATGCCAGGTCTGAAAGGGTTAAAGTACTTTTAAAAAAAAAGAAGAAAGGGATACAGGTGGAGTCATGAGATCTTCAAAATCCCAAGGATTGAGATTAATGAGGTATTCTACAAGGCAAAATTGACTTGGATGGGAATAAATGCAAGTATTAATGTATTAAAAGTTCAGCCATTGAAGCCATCCATTCCAAGAAATTCCTGCACTGTTTTCTCTCCTCTCATGCGGTTGCAGTCATGTAAGGTCCATATACCCTAAACCTATATGCTTGTATATAAAAAATAAATTGCAAAATATGTAAATTTCTATGAACACCATATGTAATTTTAATAAAATAATGGGCTGTAAGAGGACAGCCAGCACAACCAGCCTCTTTCTGAGGATCTTCATAAAACTTTTCCTTAAAGAGGAGTCATGCTACCACTTTCACAATGATAGATGTCAGTGGTCAAAGTAAAACTTATGGAAATGGTTTTATTCATTTATGCCTGTGGCAGCTCATGATGTGCAGCAGTAGTGGTTCGTCAGTGGAGACAGGCCTCCCCTGTCTCCATTCAAGAACTACCATTACTGCATATCATGATCTACCACTGATTTATACACATCCCTTTGGATGATAAATGGTCTGGATTTTGCTGTAATCTTGATTAGATGGCAAAGGTTTCTCAAATACAAGTCTAAGGACAACAATTACTCTTTATTTGCCTCATACAGTTAACACTTTACATAACGAGCCCTTTGAGTTCATTATATCAAGTGTTTAGGTGGGTATTTCTCCAGCTTTCAACTTTTGGAATAATGATACTCCAAGATTTTTGTGCATTAGATAAGGACTTCAGCTCTATACGTCAAAGATAACTGACACAAAAAGCACTTATAGGACAAAGAATGCCAAGGGAACTTGATAAAAAGTACTAAAAACATTTACAGTTTACCTACAGATCCCTAATGGCCAATGCTTGGTAATATACCACTTCATCTCTAAATAAAAGGGATTCAGGCTTGAGGTTCTATTTAGAATTTGGCTGTTGCTGTCTAGTAGTAATATATAGGTGATGAATTCACCTGTGGTAGGGAAGTGATGATATTGGCATGTGGAGGGATGGAAGAGGTGGGAGATGCAAGGAGATCGATAATGTTGTCTGAAGCAGCAGTTGTCTTCCCAATTTCCAATGGGACAGTTGCCGCTGTTGGGCTTTCCAAGAATGGATTTGTTTGCTTTGCTGATTGCTGCCAACAACCAATACAAGCATAAAATATAACATCTGATAATGGTGCTGGCATTGACTTTGGTAAATGGAGAAGATGAAAATAGTCATTACAAGGTGACTGTATGATTGGATTCTAAGTCTTCACTTTCAATATGATAAGTTCCAACATTCAAGTAAGATGCAAAAGAGGCTGATCCAATAGTGATGGGAAATAATTTACAGCTTGTTTGCACAATTGTGCAGCACTGTGCAGTACATATCCTAAATTTCCATTGTTTTCTCCATATGAAAAACACCAGTAATGAAGATAATTTTCACTTGTCACAGAGTTACCACCTTCATCAAGACATTAAAAAAAAACCCATAAAGGTGTTTTCTGAATCCACATCTGCATTTCTGCTGGCACATCAGTGATTCCATCACAGTGATAGACATGTAGTACATGTTTCAAGTATGAGTTTTATGAAAGCATTATGATACAGAGCCTATAAGCAGCACATTGGCCTTTGTCCCTTTCTCCTTTTGCAGGAGCTTTGTGATTATTGTTGCCCTACCAAGGAGATTGTACACATTTGTGCCACCTCTCTGAATGCACTGCACAATAACAATGATGGGACAGCACCACTCATCAGTGTGGATATTTAAGACCGCTTGCCCAAAGCAGTGTTGCCACATCAAATAGTGGTGCAGAGGAAACAATATTTCCTATTACTTTAGAAGCATCATTCCTATACGATTATATTCAAGTCAACTGAAACCTATTGTACATTGACAAAAAATACATAACCACAAGTCATTCATTGAAAATTATGAGTGGTTCAAGAAACCAAACATCTGTTAGCTTCATTCTTCCATTCTGTAATACTTTCTTGCGGTTGGCAACACACATTTCATTCAGATATGATACAAGGCTTTCATCAAGGTATATGAAAGGAAGGCCTTAAAAAAAAAAAACAGGTCTTTAACTCTTCTTCAACTTGAAAAGAGGTTCATGATGGTTTCAGACTGAATTATGAGAACTAGTAAACAATTTCTATTGGTCACAATGCTTCTTGTGCTGATAGTGGTTCTTCACAGATGTCTTGTAAAGACGTGAAAGATCCATATCTTCAGATTCAGTTTTTGATTGAAAACTTGTGAAAATTTGAAATGTATTGGGATGGACACAGACAACTTTTCTTTTTCTATGTATAACATTAAATCTTGCCCCTTATTAGGTTCTTCCTGTTGGTTTCTGCATACAACATAAATATCTCTTGTAAATCCAGCAACAGCTTGTCTTCCTACAGTCCCCCAAAGTTCAATGGATCATTTGAATAAACCAGTGCAGTCTTATTGTCCATTCCCATGTTCCAATGGGACTTAACACCCCAAGGGATGGTTTTTTTTTTAACCTGCAAGATCACCCATAGTAAATGTATGGAGGGCAGGATAGCATCAGCCCATAAACATACAGGCTTACTCCTCAAAGGATTAAAGCATGGCATGTCTTTCAAAGTTAATTTAAATTCAATTTATTACTCCATAAAATTCACATAGTTAAAGTGAGACAATGAGACAAGTTGGACACTTGACCTGGACTGCCCTTGGAGTAACATTCCTTTGGAGTGCCATGTAACTGCAATACAGCACTGACTTTTTTTTACAGATCAATATTTAATGGATCTTCCTTTCCAGAACTTTTCATATTTCAGAGGGATGAAGGTAAATTACAAATCCGTGGAAGGCAAAATGAAGGAGGGGGAGATGAGGAGTTATGTCACTTTGAGAAGTGCAGGGAGCTCAGCACCTTTCCTTGAAGAGATGTAAAAGTTGAAGGTCTTTAGGCTGAAAATTGCCATATACAGGGTGGTGCAAAAAAACCAGTCCACTTTTTAAACTGGTCTAGAACAGGAACTATTGAAGCTAGCAGGTTCAAAAAAAAAAGCAAATGAAAGTTCAATCCAAGCCCTTTCCAAAGATGTATGTTTTTTTGTCCATGGGTGCCATGGCCAATTGAAAAAATCATACCCCAAAAAAAGTAGTAAAATGATGGGAAAATGATTGTTCCACCTCAACTAACCTTTATTTATTCAAGAAATGTTCAATGTGTCCTCCTTTCTGGTCCATCACTGCTTGCAGTCTCTCTGGTTCACTGAAAGCCTTTATCATCACTCTCTTAACCTGTCCTACTTTTAGTCCAATTATTTCACCCAACAAATGAGCAAATAAACATTTGGAAACAGGGTAAGTATAAGCTGTAAGTGTAAGCTTCAATAGTTCCTGTTCTAGACCAGTTTAAAAAGTGGACCCTTTTTTTTTGTGCCACCCTGTATAGGGTGGTTGAAAAAAAGAAATGCTCTGCCATTTTCCTATGGGAGAAACACAGTTTCATAAATGCAGAAAAAAAATTACATTGGATATGCAATCAATATTTGGCAGCTACAAGATGTTGAAATGCTTACCAGCTTTTTTTCAGCACCTCTGCTTAAGTCATGCAATGCCCATTTAGAGGTGAATTAAAGGTGCTTAGAGGTGGATCATTCCACTTCTAAGCACCTTTAAGCGAGTGACCGAGGTTAATTTAAAAAAAAGTGTAATGCTCCACCTGTAAACTGTGTAATGGAACAATACATGGCTCAGAGAATTGTTCAGAAAAAAAAAAAACAAGACAATCTTTTCAACACCTCCTATATGTCCAATATCAAGAGTTTATGAATCTTATATTTTTTTACTTGAATCCATGAATTGTACTTTTTCCCCTTTGAAAACAGTGGAGCTTTTCTCTAATCACCCTTGGTCACCCAGTCAACAACAGCACCCTCTATCAGGATACAGTGCCATCTTGCAGAAGTGAAAAAACCTCTTAGACTCATGAACCTCTCTGTCTAGTATCAGCTGGATCCAACTGTCCCTTGAAAAGTTAAAGTTGAAAAATTCATTGAATTCTGAGACTGTCGAGCAAAGGTAATCACCTCACTTGAAGTGGAAAATTCCACCTCTAAGTACCTTTGATTCACCTCTAAATGGGTATTGCATGACTTAGGCAGGGGTGCTGAAAAAAAGCTGGCAAGCATTTCAACATCTTGTAACTGTCAAATATCGATCGCATATCCAATTTAATTTTTTTCCTGCATTTATGAAACTGTGTTTCTCCCATAGAAAATGGTAAAGCGTTTCTTTTAACCACCCTATATAAGGATGGTAGTGAGCTGATGCATAAAGTGCACTACAGTACAAATATTCCAATGAGTTATAAGCAGTCCAAGTGGGTGTGGTGTACTTCATCATCAGCTCTGGTGTAGTACCATTTTACTGAAATCTGCTGACCAAACTAAAGTTGCTTCAATGTATAATATCATGTGACCAAGCAAAAGAGAAACAAAAGATTCTGTTAATTAGAGCTGTCTAATATTTACTGGTTTCCAGCAAGAAGCTAATGGGCTCAGTGACTGCATCTCTAAATTGGTTATTCCTATCTCAATTTCTGCTCAACATGTTGCATAATGTGAAAACCACATGGGAAAATAGTTGTGGCATCATACAAGGAAATGAGCTCTGGTGTTCCATATTATTATCCAAGCAGTCTCAGCCTTTTGGAGTTGGAAAATGGCTGTGGCAGAGTTTGGCTCCTTCAGAGATAGGTTTGAACCATTGAGGATTTTGGCTTCAGCCAAATCTCTGGTTACTCTGGTGTTATACAGAGCTAGTTCATGCTTTAGCAACAGAATATGTAGAACAGAAGCCAGGAGAAGAACATATAGGCAATAATGACAAGGGTGGTCTTGATCCCTTACACTAGGCAGAAGTTTATGCATTGAGGCTTGTAGTTACTGCCATTTTCGAGCAGTCACAGGAATTTTGTACCTGTATTTCCTGATCTCCAGGATGCATTTCCTTGCAGAAGTCTCATAATACATATTAATTGTTAGTACTGATACTTCAGAAGTTCATTCTTCTTTCAGTGTTGATACTTCACTCAATGTGATCCAATTGTAAAGTTGACAGATGAATGGCAGTCTCTTGCATATACAATTGAACATAAAGGTGGTGCATAAAGTACTGGATGCAAGTGCTACTCATATCCAGGAAGCAGGAAGGTACCACCATCTCATCATTGATTGGCCAGTGCGACCTTCCAGGGGCAGATCACACCAAGGTGGGATTTAGCTTCTACCTCCTGCATAGGATAATGCACTACTACCACTACTGCATCCCATTTCAGCCACAGGCATTGGCCATGGAGCTGATTATCTGAATTTCTGCAGTATCACAGAGCTTCTCTGGAGTATGTGCAGTGTTGAACAGTGATGTGATATACCTATGATGTGACCTCAGCATTCCTGCTACTCTCAAAATTTTTTATAAGTTTGATCTTCATCTGGAGTGTCAGCATGGCAGGTACATGAGGAACAGTGTCACAACACCATGAACAATCACAGTAATCAGAAAAGTATTCCTTCTGAAGTATAAAAAAAACTTTTCTGCACAATAAGGTAACACTTTCTCAAACTGGCTACTGATGAAGCAGAATGTCAATACTGAATAAACCAAGTAAATTTTTAGTAAATTTTTTGGCACTATAACTGTCAAAATAAAATATCACAGTATGAGAAACATTGCAGATACTGTGTTTTTCAGTGGAACAGTTAAGTGGAGTTCATAGAAAAAGCTCCACTCCAAGTGGATTCTAGCCCAAAATGGATCAAATTTGCATGACAAAGTTGGAGAGCTGGAATACTGGATCCCTCACCTTCAGTTGTTCAAAGGCAGCCTCCTCATCAGCCAGGGCCTGCCTTTTGAGGGTCTCATCAATGTGACCATTGGCTGCAGCAGCTGACAGGGCAGAACTGGTCGAAGAAAGGATGGAGACTGCGTTTTGCACACTTGCTCTGTCCACAGGGAAAAGGGGAACAAGGAACGAGGGGAACAAGGAACAAGGGGAAAAGGGAGACACATTTCCCATGCACACATACACCCAAAGATATTCAGATATACCAGAACATGCAAAAAATTCACAATACAGAAGATGAAAAAGAAATATATCAGAATGGGGGGAGGGAGGAATGGAAGGAACGGAAAAGAAAACAAAGAAAAATCATCATTCTAGAGTTTATCATGAGCCTCAATTAATTGCCAACTGTGTTATCATAAATATCACAAAATCAGAATAACAAAAACTGAAAATCATAAATCTCTGAAATGTCTCACCTGGGTTGAATGGATGATGAAGGAGTGTGCTTCCTGCCTTCAAGTGCAGCCAAATGCTGCTCCAATGCATCCAGCAAACTGCTTGGAGCCTTTGGGCAACAACACAAAGGTTAACAGGATGATCTTTAATCATTAGAAGGGTGTTCATGAAACTCTTACATGCCCATTACATGCCCCAACCACTGAGGCCAGTCTAAAAAAAAAAAGTGAATGACAGTAGGTCCATACATAGAGTAAGAATGTACAGGATGGGTCAAACATTTTTTGCATAATTAATTCTATTACTGCATCCATACAGAATTAAGACATGCTCATGCAATTTAGGGGATCATTAGTAAATCTCATTCCTGATCTAATGCATTTTATTTCAATGAAATTACACATAGTTCTTGCAAATGAATTTTTTATGGACATATGGTAGAAAATTGCATTGGCATGCACATTATATTAACTCACTTGGACATAGACCCTCAATTTTTTTAAAAGTAGTTCTTCAAGGCTTTAAAAGCAATAACTGTGAATAAATTTAGCATTGAAATTCTCAATAAAATTTTAAAGCAATGTTGAATGTGCCCTCTTCTCTGACAAAGTTGTCAATTTAGCCTGCCACTGCTTCATCTCCTCAAATCACTGCTTGAAGGTTGTTTACCCTAGCAGGAGAAAAACATGCATGGTAACTTCAATATTCAAGCTTGTGCAACAAAAAAGGTATTAAAATGTTGTATTGTCTTAAAATAAAAACAGATTAAATTTAAAAAGATTGATACTAGTAATCCTTCTAATTGCATGAGTGTGTCTTACTTAGTAAAATATAGCAATAAAATGAAAAAGAGAGAACTTCTTTTTACTCATACTATTGGGTTGATGCAAAATTAATGACCGTTTTTATTAGTCCCCTTCAAATCTTTCAAATTTAGCATTTTGTCTCAATTTTTTTCATAATAATATTCCTTACCATTTTAATAAGAATGTGTGTCGATAACCATGTTCATATTCGTCATATCATGCTTTATCACTTCGAGAAAGGTCACACTGCCACTGAAGCATTTCACGATCTCAACTAACTTTTCGGTGAAGGAACAATCGGTGAAAGAAAAGTCCGAAGATGGTTCAATCATTTCAAATCCGGCAACACAAGCTTAGAAGATGAGGAAGGAAGTGGTCGTCCGTCTGATTTTGATGATCAAGCTCTTTTGCAAGCAGTGGAAGAAGACGAAAGCTTGACGACACAGATATTGGCCGAGCAATTCGATTTCGATCAGTCCACCATTGTCAGGCGACTCAAAAAGCTCGGAAAAGTATGGAAATTGGCTGGATGGGTCCAACACAAACTCTCCGATGACAAGGCCGAGCGAGTCCGCATCTTCAGCGAATTGCTTCAGTGAAATGAAGCAATTCATTTCTGAAGCTCCTACAGACTACCATGTCAATCGTTTGCTCAAAAATTGGCAGACGGGCAAAGTCTACGATGATTTGGACGAGCTTGTCGCTGACGTCAAAGCGTGGATTGCATCCAAGGATCGTCACTTTTTTGCACGTGGAATCGATCATTTGCCAAGCAAATGGGAAGCAGTTATTGAAGTAGATGGCGATTATGCTCCAGAATAATCATTTAAACATGTTTTTAGTGTACTCTGGTGTTGTATTGCTGAAAAAAAATTTGAAACAATAAAAACGGTAGTTAATTTTGCATCAACCCAATATATATAAATAACAGATAAGGCACTCCTCGTGCTGCACTTAGAGGTCAACCAATTCCTGCCCACATTTGAAGGACTTGTCTATGAACTTTACTGAGGTAAAACCAACTGAGGTAAAATTTACCAAGGTAAATTCATGGTCACAAAATGTTTCATAGAACCTCATTTTTGGATTAAACTCTTCTTTAAAGTTTAAAGATTAAAAGCTTAGCTCATATTTGAAAGATTTGAAAAAAAACTCTATGATTTTAATCCTTCTATAAGAATGATTATCAGATATCAAAATGATATCACTTTGCTGGCATTTACAGGTGTTCTCTCTATGCACACAATACAGGGATACCTTCACTCTGTGGTAGACCTTTACTCTAACTTTCCCAGAAGGCATATAGGTAAGTGAGGGATGTGAGTAAATTTCTGATTCATCCATTCACCTCATGGGATTATTGGGCAATTAGTTTGTAATTTATTTAACCAGTCCTGAAAAGGGAAATACTCCTCATGACCTGTCAGCTGCATGCAGTAATTTCAAATATTTTTTGCCTCTAATGGAAAGAATCTCATGGGCAATCAGACTTGTTTTCATGACATGAGCTGTATAACCACAAATAAAAGTTTGAAGTTGAAACTGAGAAAACCAACAGAAGCAAGCACAAAACACATTCAAGTTCATGCACAGGAACTAAAACAGAAACTTTGGGAGCAAGCATAACTGTACCTTTGAAAGATCGGGAATGTCTCCACGATCCACGCCAACATTCTGTTTAAAAAACCAAGAACAGAAAACCCACACAAATGCAAGCATAAAAAGCCATACAAAAAAGGGTAGCAAAAAAACAGGACACTGTGCAAAACAAAAGAATACAACTCTTTTCCTCCAACAGCAACAGAAAATGATGGAAGACAAAATTTCACATGAAGCCAGATGTGTCTCAGAATTAAAAAACTTCTCTCACCTGGGCCAGATTTGGAATATCACTCTGATCCATGCCCACTTTCTGATAGAGAATAAATCAATCAGCTTTAGGCAAATTCAAACATTAGAATATGTTAAGCATAAGCTATTCCTTTGAATCAAGATCAACTGCTTTGGCAGTAAAATGTTGAATCAGAATAAGTTCAAGGGTTGTGATGAAAAAGCTTTTCAGGAAATTTAATGCATTTATGCTATAAGAGTCTTGAAGACAAAGCATTGGAGAAGGAATGTTGTGACAGACCTCAGCCACTTTAAGGAATTCAGCCACCTTGTCCATGCGGATGAGGAACCTCTTGTACAGCTCCAGAGCATCCCTGCACTGTTTCTTGTTCATGTCAAAATATTTCTCTGAAATGAGGAAAAGGTCCCCTAGGGAATAAGTATCTAACATATCATACCTTTACCTTAGATAATACACTCAATTCTTAGATTAACAAGATAAATTATAAGTGTGTGAAATAGCAGAGGAATATTATTTTTCCCTGTATTTTTATAACTCTAGGGGTGAGATGTGTAGCCATTGGATTGGGAGTGACCATTCCATCATTTACTTAACCCATTCTTTGGTGCATGGGTGAAAATCCATACAGCTGTTTCCAACCATTGCCTGGCACAGGAAAATGGTCTGCCAGGGTGGTAAAATTTGAGGCCAGGAAATGAGCAAAGATGACTTTGAGTTGTGAAACATGTCCAGATTTTAATAAACTTCATTGATATCAGAATTGAAACACAATTGAATACTTCCCAACAATGCTAACAGAATTCATTTCTATTTCTTATAATTCCATTTCCAGTCTTGTTTTGTCTCCATTTTGCTGTCTAGCCTTAAGTATTAACCAGGAATATTACTGGGAATCCTAGAATTCTCTTCTTTGCATATGGGTCAATACTTCCAAGTTTCTGATGGCACACTAATGTAAAAGCCAATGCATGTACAGAGTGAAATAAGTCAAATCAAAGGATTTTGAGCTTGCCTTTCTGCTCTTTTCATGGGTTCATTTGTCCTGGAAGCAGCATTTCATGCATGTTGTTCTGCTCTTTCATTGGATGACTCCACAGTGGATCACACCACAGAATGGTTTAAACTTCCCTGCCTTTTTCATGGCATGTTGAGAGCAACACCAAAACTCAAAATATCTGATTGGAAAGTTCTCGGAATTTCTTGAATATCCAGTACAATTTTTTTCCAGAGCATGCTAGAATGTTCTGCATGTGTTTATAAGTAGGTCGTGTCCTTTGGCATACAACCGTATATTATTACAGCCCTGGTGCTCTCCAGCCATGAACCAGCCCTACCCTCTTACTAAGGAGCAAGTTCGCCTGCTTCTTCTTTATGACTTCCGAATCGAGAAGAAGGCAGCCAATTCCATCGCTGACATCAATACCGCGTTTGGCCCGGACACTGTGTCCAACAGCACTGCCTATGATTGGTACAGTCGCTTCCAGAAAGGAAATGAAAGCCTGGAAGACCAGCCACGCACCGGTCGTCCTT